AGCTGGGAATGTTGCTTAAAAGATGCTTTGGTCCTCCTGAGAATACCGTGTTTTCCTTTCCTGGCCCCAGGACCTCTGAAACCTCACTGGAGCTGATTCACAAGTTTAGTCACCGCGAACAACTCTGGGCCAGACCTTCCATCTGTCCACAGTTTGGGAGGCAGATGTTCACATCTGTGTGTATTATTTTTCTATGATCTGCTTCAAGTCTGCTGAGCAACAAAGAGAGGTGTGTTTAAATAGAAGAAATGGAGGGTCCGTAACGCAGAAGAAGGCAGGCAGGTCAGGCAGCCCCAGGGTCAAACGCCCCTGGGCCAGGCCAGGAACATAAATGGACTAGGAGCGCCGCGGGGCAGCGGGGCCCTGGAGGCTTGTGTGCCTGCAGTGGCCAAATCATCCCATTTCCAAACAAACCCAGAAATCAAACCTTGGACTTGAATCTCCTGAATGTACACAGACTACACACAAGCAATATATAGGAAAGAGCGTATTAGCGGCCAGTGTTCAGAACACAGTACCTGAGCCTACGTGTAGACAAGTATGTGTACATACACACGGCTAAGTGTGAGCAGGCAGGTTTGAGGGCCACGCTCAGCACCAGTGAGCAGAGGCGTACAGCGAAGGGTGAGCCTTGACGGCCACCGGTTCCAGCCCCAGGCATTCTTCCAGACGTTGAACCCAAAGGTGTGGATGTCTTTATGTCACTGACAACTAGACGGTGGCAAACAAGCAAAGAGAAACAGCACCCGGCCCTCGGTACGCTCTCAGTGCTGACCGGGGGCCTGCCACTGGACAGCAGCAAGCCCCTTATTAATAAAGCCCAGTTCCACCTTAGGGAGTCTCGATAATTAGTGCGTTTTTAATGAAGCTGATGGGGTACAAAAGTGTTGTGTCTGAATCAGAATTACCTTACCCTGATCAAAGAAATGAGTCACCGGAAGGTGAGGGAGGGAACAGTATTGCCAAGAAAGTCCGGCCTGCGTGTCGGTGAACCCGCTCGCTCCCTCCCTTGTGTGCCCGTGGCATTGGGCTGCCTGTTCTTTCCTTTTCTGTCTTCCTGTCAGTGGTGGGTCTTGAACTTGGGGCCTAGGCGCTGTCCCTGAGCTCTTCAGCTCAAGGCGAGCGCTCCACCCCTTGAGCCACGGCACCACTTCCGGTTTTCTGGTGGTTCATTGGGGCAGGAAAGTCTGTGAGACTCTTATCTCCAATGAACCACCAGAAAACCGGAAGTGGTGCCGTGGCTTAAATGGTAGAGCGCTCGCCTTGAGCTGAAGAGCTAAAGGACAGCTCCAGGCCCCGAGTTCAAGCCCCACGACCGACAGGATGGACCGGAATGAGTTTGAGATAGACAGATCTGTACGTCAGCATTCTACATTAGTCGTGGAGTTCCCTCCTTTCTTTCTCTTCTCTTTCCTTTTCTTTCTGAGAATTGGCCCTGTGATTTACAAAGCACCCTTCGTGTTTAGGTAATTGCTACTTGTTAGCTACAAACCACGATAACGACAGGCCTGCAAGAATGATGGCCACCGGCGGCGGCGGCGTGTGCAAATGGGGCTTCTGACCCGCCCTGGGCCCCCGGCCTCACTCCCAGCAGCATGATGCCCCCCGTGGGCGAGAGCACTCAGGAACGGCGGGGCCTTGCCCGAACGTCCACGTTTCTGTGGGAATCTGTGCAGGATAAAAACTTGAACAGATTCCTTTGGTGTGGGATCCAAGTTTGAGGAAGTGACAGGTGGCCGAGGAGAACGAGCCCGGCCCGAGTAGCAAACCACGCAGGACTCCCTGCGCCTGACAGACAGCGCGCTGTGTGTGTGTGTGTGTGCACATGTGTGTGTGCACACGTGCCTGTGTGTGCACGTGTGTGTGCACGTGTGCATGCGTGTGCATGTGTGTACATGTGTGTACACGCATGTGCACGCATGTGTGTACATGTGAGCGCGTGTGTGCATGTGTGTGTGTGTGCGTGTGTGTGGTGCGCTCCTGACTCTCCACCATCAGAAGCTGGGCAGGCCCGTGAGCCCTCTGACCCTCGGGTAGGAGACGGGCAGCTTCTTGTTTAAGGACACTCCCTAACCCCTGCACTGCGGGGCGGGGGACGGTTCCACCTCCGCTCTCCACACCTGAGCACCCTTCAAACGCCTGAGAAGCTGCTGTCTCTACAAAGCAGTTCCCTTGTGAGTCATCTTCCTGGCTCTTCACGGGCACGCACAGATCCCACAAAGCAGTATTTAGTGTGTCCTCACCTGAGCTTCACGCTGAGTTCATGGAGACAGCTCACTCTGCCTCTCTGAGACCATGGGCTCCCTTTGCTGTTGGAGGGGTGCTTCTAATGCCCCCCACGCCTGCACCTTCAGGAGGTGCCAGGTGGCGATTTGAGCGTGCAAGAGGATGTGTTGGAAGGGAGGATGTGCCCAGGAGGTGTCAGGGCAGTTAGTGACGGGGAGGAGAGGGGACGAGGCGGGGCGCGTGAGGCCCCTGCCCCTCCCCCCGGGAGTCTGGTGTGACACGCTACAGGGCCACGCTCTGGTTCCAGATAAGATCGAGGATGAGCTGGAGATGACCGTGGTCTGCCACCGGCCCGAGGGCCTGGAGCAGCTCGAAGCCCAGACCAACTTCACCAAGAGGGAGCTCCAGGTCCTTTACCGAGGCTTCAAAAACGTAAGACGCACCTAGAAGCAGGAGACCCAGGGAGGCGGGGATGGCCACACACGCCGGGGGCGGGGCGTGCGTGCGTGTGCGTGCGTGTGCGTGCAACTATCCACCCGCCACAGGGATTTCCCACGCGCACAGTTGTAGAACGCCAGCCCAGGCACCCCTGACCCTCCTCCCCTCCGCAGGAGTGCCCCAGCGGCGTGGTCAACGAGGAGACATTCAAGCAGATCTACGCTCAGTTCTTCCCCCACGGAGGTGAGTGCCCAGGCCTCCAGCCCGCAGCCGTCTGGTCCTCCGTCCACCGTGCCTCCGGACCACGGGGCGGGGGAGGGGGGCACTGGAAGAGGTGGGCGCGCGTCAGAGCTCTCCGGAACCTCAGTGGAAAGGCGCTCTGAGGATGGGCCGGGACACAGGGTCCTCTCTCGGGCGTTACCCCCTCTCTCCCCTCCCCCAGACGCTGCAGTTTGGACTGGGCTTCCAGCTTGCCAGGCAGGTGCTCTGCCACCTCTCTAGCCATTGCAGCCTGGGCTGGCCAGACCCCGCTCCTCCTCACCTCAAACCACAACGCTCCTCACCTCCGCCTCCAAAACAGCCTCCCGCCCCTGCTCCCAGCCTCTCTTCTCTCCGCCTCCTCTCTGGGGCCTCCAGCCTTCACCCCTCTCCCCTCCTTGTCTTGTAGACGCGAGCACCTACGCGCACTACCTCTTCAACGCCTTCGACACCACCCAGGCAGGCTCCGTGAAGTTTGAGGTACGGGCATCCCCGGTCCACCCTGGGAGCCCCTGGGGGGAGGGCTGGGCTCCCAGATGTTCTCAGTCAAGTCCGAGAATCACTCTTGACCAGTGTCCCAAGAAGACAGCAGGTGGAAGAGGAAACTTCCCTGCCCCCAGGGAAGCAAGAGCGTCCTGCTCTGTGGACCTGCGCTTCGCACTAACCCCTTTCACCGCCCGGCCACCTGCCAGCTGGGCTTTAGGATTTACCACTGCATTAGAGCAGGCAGGCAGATTGAGTCCAGAATACTGGGGAGGGGTCGGGGACGGGCTTGAACTCGGGATGCTCCCGCAGCTCATGCTTACAGCTATTAGAGGAGACGGCCACACTGTCGCAAGCAACCGCCACCGCGGCAGCTGAGCCGCAGCAGCTGCGTCTCCCTGCCTGCAGACCGGGACCGGTGCCCAAGCTGGCAGGGTGGGGTCTTCGTGTGAGCATGCCCCAGGCTGGCTCAGAGACACCCCCCCCCCGCCGTGTCCCGTGGTTAACAGCCCTCTGGCCTTTTCTGCTTCTCAGGACTTTGTCACTGCACTGTCCATTTTGCTGAGAGGAACTGTCCACGAGAAACTAAGGTGGACGTTTAACCTGTACGACATCAACAAAGACGGATACATAAACAAGGAGGTGAGCCACGAAGGGGCTGGGCCACACAGCGAGCCCCTCCCCCGGGGGCGTGGCCACACAGCGAGCTCCTCCCCGGGGGTGTGGCCACACCACGAGCCCCTCCCCCGGGGGCGTGGCCACACAGCAAGCTCCTCCCCGGGTGTGGCCACACCGCGAGCCCCTCCCCCGGGGGCGTGGCCACACAGCGAGCTCCTCCCCAGAGCTGGCAGGTACACAGCGAGCTCCTCCCCCGGGGGCGTGGCCACACAGCAAGCTCCTCCCCCGGGGGCGTGGCCACAGCGAGCTCCTCCCCCAGGAGCTGGGCCACACCGTGAGCCCCTCCCCCGGGGGCGTGGCCACACAGCGAGCTCCTCCCCCGGGAGCTGGCAGCCACACAGCGAGCTCCTCCCC